TCAATTTGTAAAACCGTGAAAATCTCATTCAACCAATCAAAAAATTTCATTTTGTTCATTTTTTTGTAATTATGAGAGGTTGATTAACCATTTTTATTGTGGAGGGTGTTAATCATGGATATTATCATCTTCATTATTTTAATTTTAGAGAAATACATAAAACAATTTCATTAAGTAGTATATGAAACAATTTCATTAAGTAGTATATGAAACAATTTCATAACCACATATGAAACAACTTCATAACCACATATGAAACAACTTCATCAAAAAAAGTATTATATGAAACAAATTCACAAGATTAACAATTTCATGGAAAAATTTCATAAGATTAACGATGGATGAGAGTAGTTTTTTACGGTTTTTACAAATTGGAGTATTCTCATTTGATCGCTCCTCTCTCTCTCTCTCTATATATATATATATATATACATATCTATCTATCTATAACCCTAATAAATAAGTAACTTTTGGGACACGTGTCGTGTTTCTGTGCGTCGATTATTGATTTTTCCCGCCTAAACATGTATCTAGACACAATTTTCATTTACGGTTCAAATAAGTCTATTTAAGTGACACGGGTCTCTTTGGACGGTTAATTTGTGACAGTTATTGATTTTTTTCCCGCCTAAACATGTATCTAGACACAATTTTCAGTTACGGTTCAAATAGGTCATCCAGAGCTTCTTACTGTACATGCCTCTAGTATATGCAGAGCCTCTACATAGTACATGCAGAGCCTCTACATAGTACATGCAGAGCCTCTTATTGTAGTCCTTAGGACTTGGTCTTTTGAAGGGGGCTGGACCAAGAGCTCTCATGCAGAAGACATCAAGAGACAGAGCTCTTACTCAAGAGTTAAGTGTCTCATATACGGAGCCCGTGTTGTATTCCAAGGAAGGACAAGGCTTAAACGCCAAAAAGGTTAAGTGGTTGATGCAGAGCTTCACTCCAGACACTAAGCCTCTACATAGTACATGCAGAACCTGTACATAGTACATGTAGAGCCTCTTACTGTAGTCCTTAGTCTTTTGAAGCGGGCTGGACCAAAAGCTCTCATGTAGAAGACATCAAGAGACAGACCTCTTACTCAAGAGTTAAGTGTCTCATATTCAGAGCCCGTGTTGTATTCCAAGGAAGATCAAGGCTTAAACACCAAAAAGGTTAAGTGCTTGATGTAGGGCCTCTACATAGTACATGCAAAGCCTCTTACTGTACATGTAGAGCCTCTTCATAGTACATGCAGAGCCTCTTATTGTACATGCAGAGCCTCTACATAGTACATGCAGACCCTCTTACTGTACATGCAAAGCCTCTACATAGTACATGCAGAGCCTCTTACTATAGTCCTTAGGACTTAGTCTTTTGAAGGGGGCTGGACCAAGAGCTCTCATGCAGAAGACATCAAGAGACAGAGTTCTTACTCAAGAGTTAAGTATCTCATATATGGAGCCCGTGATGTATTCCAAGAAAGGACAAGGCTTAAACGACAAAAAGGTTAAGTGCTTGATGCAGAGCTTCACTCCAAACACTAAGCCTCTACATAGTACATGCAGAGCCTCTTACTGTAGTCCTTAGTCTTTTGAAGCGGGCTGGACCAAGAGCTCTCATGTAGAAGACATCAAGAGACAGAGCTCTTACTCAAAAGTTAAGTGTCTCATATACAGAGCTCGTGTTGTATTCCAAGGAAGATCAAGGCTTAAACGCCAAAAAGGTTAAGTGCTTGATGCAGGGCCTCTACATAGTATATGCAGAGCCTCTTCATAGTACATGCAGAGCCTCAATATAGTAGATGCAGAGCCTCTACATAGTAGATGCAGAGCCTCTTCATAGTACATGCAAAGCCTCATGTAGAAAACGGGATGGATCAAGAGCTCTCATGTAGAAAACGTCAAGAGGCAGAGCTCTTACTCAAGAGTTAAGTGTCTCATATACAGAGCCCGTGTTGTCTTCCAAGGAAGATCAAGGCTTAAACGCCAAAAAGGTTAAGTGTGCTTAATGTAGAGCTTCACTCTAGACACAGAGCCTTTACATAGTACATGCAGAGCCTCTTACTGTAAATGCAAAGCCTCTACATAGTACATGCAGAGCCTCTACATAGTACATGCAGAGCCTCTTACTGTACATGCAATGCCTCTTTTATTATAGTCCATAGGACTTAGTCTTTTGAAGCGGACTGGACCAAGAGCTCTCATGTAGAAGACATCAAGAGGCAGAGCTCTTACTCAAGATTTAAGTGTCTCATATATACAGAGCCCGTGTTGTATTCCAAGGAAGATCAAAGCTTAAACGCCAAAAAGGTTTAGTGCTTGATACAGAGCTTCACTACAGACACAGAGCCTCTACATAGTACATGCAGAGCCTCTTCATAGTACATACAGAGCCTCTACATAGTACATGCAGAGCCTCTTAATGTAGTCCTTAGGATAGTCTTTTGAAGCGGGCTAGACCAAGAGCTCTAATGCAGAAGACATCAAGAGACATAGCTCTTACTCAAGAGTTAAGTGTTTCATATACGAAACCCGTGCTGTATTCCAAGGAAGGACAAGGCTTAAACGCCAAAAAGGTTAAGTGCTTAATGCAGAGCTTCACTCCAGACACTAAGCCTCTTACTGTACATGCCCAGCTCGACCCCAGCCAGGGGCTCTGCTCCCGGACCCCCATTGTTAAGTTTGTAATTACTGAATGAATAGAAACAATTTAAAAAAAAAGTACAAGTGTGCACTCCACATCAAAATAAACTCATGTACAGTAAGAGCTCTTACTGTACATGCAGAGCCTCTACATAGTACAAACATAGCATGTTACTGTACATGCAAAGCCTGTTACTGTACATGCAGAGCCTCCACATAGTACATGCACAGCCTCTTACTGTACATGCAAAGCCTCTACATAGTACATGCTTTATAATATAGTATAGATATGTAGGGTATGTTATCTGTTTATTAACTAGCGGTTATAACTTTTGTTCGGAATTTTACGAATATGGGAAGGTTGTCAAAACCATGAAGGTCCAAACTTATGTTCACAATTGTATTCCATAATCACATTACATCAATTCCAAACAAACATCAAGTCTTTTACATAACATGTACAAGCACTTTGCTAAGTACCCCGAGATCAAACAACAACGATATCCGTAATGCGAGCATCCTTGTTCAAGTGAGAAAGATCCCTCGTCGTGGTCTCTTTATTAAACCAAACACGCATCACGCTTCATTTGCTGATTTCATTAAGAAAAAAGATACATCAGTCGACTTATTTAGTTGATTCTAGCACAATGCCTCCTTATTTCACCAGCCTCGCCAGTAAGAACTCCAATTTGACCCATTTTCATTATTGATTCTTCGAAATCTTTAAGGAATGTATGGCCATTAGACTCTGCTTGCAGCTTTACATAAGCACTTGTTTCTTTGTCAGCAAGTAGAGCAGCGTCTGATTGAAATAAGCCTCTTCTTTTCAATACATTTTTGTAGTAATTCTTGTCGAATGATCTGAAACTCCCTGGATCCATCTCAAGCAGCGTGGTTCTGTCTGTGGGCTTACATTTACTTTTCAAGTAAGGTACATAATCCGAGTCTAGAGAAGGATCGGTGTCACCTTTGCCCGTAAAATTGTACAACCGAGCTGCAATGGTAGAGCAATGAGAAGTCCCTATAGTGTGTCCTCCTGTATAAACAACATGTAAGACGCTCATGATCCCTATTGAGCATTTCTTCCCTCAAGTTTTCATATTATTTTTCAGTCTGATACAAGTTCGGTTCTAAGATTTTTGATGGTCTGTGCGAAAATAATAAAATATGTCCCTAAGCCTACTTTTTTAAGCGAATGAAACAACAAAACATGCGATTTTTTAAAGAGTTTAGAACCTATTCAATCTAAGTATCTCATCCGCATGTTGATTTTTATTAATTATAATAAAAAAATACAATGGGGGCAATAAAAACCAAAACCCCAAATAAAAATATAAAATGACAAAAGGATAAATCCTGAATTAAGATCGTGCTTCCTTCTTTTTAGTTTTCGCTTTTCCAAATTGAATTTAGAAAAATACAAACTTTGTTTCAATATATGGGACTTAAAAGACAAAAAAAAAACTATAATTAGTTTTAACTAAAATAGTAAATTACATCCAAATTACTGTTATATATAGTAAGCAAAAAGTAAAACTCAAAAGTTACAGGTCTAACGACTAAAAGCTAATGGTCTATCTGTTAGCAGCTTAATAAGTTTAATGAAACTAACAACTTATTCACTCAACTATGCATGACTGTTTCGTAGTGGCTTAATGATATTGAAAGTGACTTATCCAGTAAGCTTCTAGGGGAAACTTTATATAGAAAGCCAAAGTTTTTTTTTCAAACATGTCCCTTCCAAACTAAAAAAACGCTCCTAACTCTCCTCAAACAAAAACTTTTCCAACTTATACAAACAGATTAATTCATACAGACAACTTTATTCATACATATAACTTTATACAAACAAAAACTTTTCCAACTTTTTCCAACGATGTGCATTCAGTATTCAATCACTCTGTTTTTATAGTTAAAAGCTCAGTTGTCCAAGTCTCCAACTATTAAAATCAAAAACTAGTAATAAATAACAACTTGATACCCCTTTAGGTTTTGATACCCTGTGTGGCCGCACGGGTTGCACGTGGTCTGTTATTGTACCGCAAGTATTGGTGTATAGAAATGGACAGAAGTACCTGAAAGAACTACGAGATCTTTTACACTCAAGCCCTTTGCGGAAAACTGTTCTTTGAGTCGAGTAATGTCATCGAACGGTGCAGGTAATGTCAAACTCTCGGATGCTATCGATACTCTTCCATCTCTTCTCCCCAAGGGCACTGCCCAATATGGTCCCTTAATCTGGAAAGAAGAAGATATGTAAACAGAATTCTTTCAAAAAATAACAAAAATACTCCGATCTTTCGCAATGATCATAAGTACCTGGTAGATTGCGTCTCGAGCAACTAAAGCTAGGATATCTGCGCAAGAAACAACGCCAGGACATTCCGTTTCTAGCACAGTTTTCGCAGCATCGATAACTTGATATCCTCTTAGCGAAAGATTGGGAGGTCCGTCTTTCTCAGCTCGGTTATCTTTGGTTGAGTCTATTAGCACCGAACCGTCACATCCCTGCAAAACATCATATAGTATTAACTCAATCTCTGATATGTTTGCAATCTGAGGCTCTAATGCATGTTACTATTAAGTTAAGTTTGAGTAACAAGACTCGTGAAGAAAGACAAACGAGTTAAGCTGTTGAACAAACCCTAACGAAACAATCATGAAAGTGCATTCGGAGCAAAGGAGCTGCAAGAGATGGAGCTACAGAAACGTGATCTGCTGTTGCCTTCTCTACAATGGCCTCAGCTCTAGGGCATGCTTTTCTGTAAAACCCTAATTTAAGGTCACTGCCATTGGCAATGGCGAAAACTAGAGCAAGAAGAAGAAGTTGGAGAACAAGTGATGGAATGTATGCCATTTTGTACATGCACAACAGACACAGTGGAAGTGATGATTTGGAAAGCTGTTTACATTCATGGTTTTATAGCTGTGAAGAACTCATTAAGCCTCTTTCAACTGTGTTCAAGAGCCCTTTTGAAGTCAACTTAACCACAAATTATTCTTGTCAAACTTCTATTTTTATGCCTATTTGCTCTATTTAATCATTCAACCTTCACTACAACAAAATCGGGTTTACAGGACACTCTCAAATTCTAAGTGTCCTAATAGACCTCTTTATAGGACTTAGTTTATATGACCACAAAAATAAAGTGTCCTATCTAAAGGTGTTGTAATAAGTTTATATGATGTTTTTTGACGTCGTAATAAGTTTTTTAGAACACTTTTAATATAAAGCGTCCCATTAACAACTTTATAAGACGTTATTTGAAAAATTGTCCTATAAAAACAAATGTCCTATAAAAAATTGAGTTTATAGGACACTTTCTCAACAGTGTAAAGTGTCCTATAAAGTTGCTAATACGACACTTTGTATTAAAAATGTCCTAAAAAAACTTGTTAAGACACCCAAAAACGTCATATAAACTTATTACAACACCTTTAGATATGATACTTTATATTTTGGTCCCATAAATTAAGTGTTATAAAGCCGTCTATTGGGACGCTTAGAGATTTAGAGTGTTCTATAAACCCAATTTTGTTGTAGTGTGGGCTCCAAATGGATTACAAATATAAAGGGGTCTTTTAGCTTTTGGAGCTCTTAAATAGTTTGGAAATCTCGAGTTTTTTTCTAGAACACGACGACACAACTTCGCGTTAGTTGGAATCAAAACACAAATAAGATGTTTGGTTTCAACGATCGCAAGAACAGGAACCCGTATCCGCGTTAATTAAGCTAGCTTAATGGATAAGAAGAGCTAGTTAATCCATCTAAATCACAAGGAAACTTGTTGCTTCAAATCTGCTCCTTCCCATATAAAATTAAGCAGAATCTCAGCTTATTCTGACCAATCAATCTGAGGAATGTCTGAATAGAAAAATGGGAATAATAGATATTGTCAATGAATTGGGTTTGGTTACAAGTACAAGAGGCTTGTGTACTTGCTTTATAAAAGCATTAATTTCACCTGCTTCTAAATAAACTAAGAAGAAAGAATTACAGATAAGGTTTTATATGGATGAGTTGGAATGTAATGGATGATGACTCCATGTGAAATGAAAGAATTTTGATGTTTGGTTAGCTAACTGAGGGTAAATTGGTCATTTTAACCAGTTTTTTCCAGTCCTGTCATGTCTTACCAAATGCTGAACAACTGTCATGTTCTGTCTGCGTACCAAACGCACCCTTAGGGAATGGAATATGGATATTGCTTCGTATGGCCGCAACAGTCGTCATGACACATTGTAACTCAAGATTTGTATCTCATGTCACATTAAACCTGTGATACGTCGTGGCGTAATGTGCGTTTTTGTATCACGATATTTGATTTTGCTTACCATTTTAAGGTCTTACTTGTTCGTTTTTAATATGTAACTTAAATTGTTTATTATGATTGATTCATTGAGTAATAGTATAAACTTATATATATAGGGGTTGTTTGGTAGCAGTTTAATGAGAGTTTAATGAGCTTAATGGAGTCGTAGCTTATTCGGTCATCTATACATGAATATTTGGTAGTGACTTAATAATATAAAAAATGACTTATTCAGTAAGCTTTTAAGGGGAGTTTTTTTGCAAAAGGCCACGATTTTTCCAAAACTGTAGCTCTTAATTATAGAACACGTTCATTCTATCTATGAAAAACAATTTCCAAACAAAAACCCTCCATAATCTATACAGACAGATTAATCAACATACGTAGACAACTTTATTCATACATGACTTAATGAAAATATCAACCAAACAGGATTTTAATAATATATGTTGCGGTATCTATGAAAAAAGTCATATAATTGTTCACAAGGTTAAAATGAAAAAAAACACACATTGATACAGTTTATTTATCTAATCTTTTTCAAACAAATTGAATGATCAATTCAACATTCAACAAGTTTTTAAAAATTAAAAGAAATAAGGGAAAGGTATATATATATATATATATATATATATATATATATATATATATATATATATATATATATATATATATATATATAT